AAGCTAGGGCATAAGCAGCTAGGACCCTACCAAGTCGAGGCACAGGTCAATCCAGTGGCCTTCCGGTTGACACTGCCGGAGGGATCCAGAATGCACCCAGTTTTCCATAGATCAGTGCTCACGCCCTACAAAGCACCTCATAGATTTCAGGAGCCAGGAACGGCACCAGACCCGTTCAGGGAAACGCCCACAAGGGGGGGGTCGCCAAGGCGGGAACCCGTCAACGAAGTCACAGAGATTTTAGACTCGAGATGGGGGAGGAGGGAGTGGAATACCTCCTCGCCAAGGAAGGTACCTCGGCTAGCGCCAACAGTTGGGTGCCAGATTATGCTCTGGAGGAATCTTGGCTTAAGGACGAGTTCCATGCCCTTTTCCCACACAGGCCCATGCCAGCCGAGTATTTCGACGACTGGCTTTTCACACCCACATTTTCAGCTAGCACATTCCAGGGGTTCACCTCGGACGAGGAACCGGCACTAGAAACACGTTCCCCGGAGGGATCACCCTCGGGGTCTGCCTCAGACCGTTCCTATTGGTGGGACAATCAACCAGAGGAGCAGTGGCGCAGGAAGTGGTTGGGGGGTCCTTGGCAGGCAACGTCCCCGGAGGAGACCGGGGAAGAGACGGACATGGACGTGTTGGGGGAGGACCTTGGGTTCGAGCACGGCGGCAAAGAGATGGAAGCAGAGGAAATTGAGGTCGGCGAGAGCACGGAGGACGAGCCGGACTTATCCGGCTGGATGCACGCCACGGGGGACGAACTGTATCCGGCACTCACCCCCACTACGTCGGGGCACCCAGTACCCACACCGGAAGGTGGGGAGGGGGAAGGGGGGCTTCGAGGGGGATGGATGTCAGGGGTTCAGGAGCAGAGGCACAGGAAAGGGAGGAAATAGAGAGCGAGGGGGAGGAGTCCGAAGGAAATGTTAGCGATGACAGCGGTCCGAGGTCTCTGAGTCTTTCCAGCGAATCGGAAGATTCACAGAAAGGGGCTCCCTTGGTCAGAGCAAGGGGGTGCCGAGGGGGACACCCCCAGGAAGAAGGGGCCAGAGGGGACTCAGAGAGCAGCAGTTGGAAATCAGGACCAGCGTCCACACCAGAGTGCAGTAGGGGAGGAGTCCCAGGCATCGGGATCAGGCGGCGCACTGCCAGTGGGAGGACATGAGTCAGGATTGGCCACGCCTCCATCGGGGAGCGAGGAAACGGTCGAGAGGAAGGTTGAAGGCTGGGCGCGCGCGCCAAGTTCAAATGTACAGGAGGGCGGCGCAGTTGGCAGCCCGGATAGGGAGCCAGGTCCCAAAGCCCGCCGAAAAGAGGGGGAGGAGTCAGGAGGGTCAGCGTCAGAAGAATCCAGGAAGGAAGGGACCCCGGGGGGTAGCAGGACCCAGAGGAGAAAGGAGAGACGTAAGAGGTGGAGTAAGGCTAGAATCTTAAACTGGTGTACAGGGGGCGGAGACTCAGATGGAGCTTCGCCGATCTAACCCCTAGACGTAGAGCTGGGGCGCTCCGGCTTGAAAATGGAAACTGTACTTCAATAAAGACTTTTGCACATTACTGCCGGCTAGCGTTGGTCCTCTGTGAGCTGGGACCTGGAGCCAGCTCTGACAACACCCTTTTAAGTTCAACGTAAATGTGCAGAGGACTGAAGCCCTTAAAATGCAACAAATCAGTGTGCTTGGATTTACAGTTTCCCAGCAGACCTATACAACTGAGTGTCGCCATTTCACTTACTGGTGCAGGCGCACTGGTAGCTATGTACATGGTTCAGCACACAGGCTCATGACACACATTTGCATAGAATTAGCATGTGCTAATTTATATGTATTGGTGCAAATTTACGGTGACTTTCAGAGTGGGTGGGCGGGGTGAACTCTTGCTGTTGGGGACTTACCCTGAACCAGGGGTGCCATCTAGGAGGGGCTGAGGGGCCCCCTGAAATTTTCAGGGAGGGAGCCGGGCCCCCTCAATATTCTGTGGTCTGCAGTGGGCCTTGCGGGGCTTACTTATGGCTGTGGTGGGCCTCATGGCTTCCTCCCATCTTGTGATGTCACACGTGTGCTGAGAACCCCCAAAGCTGGACAGGACCTGGTACCTGTGCCCTGAACTGGGGTCTGCCAACAGATTTTCTGGATCCAGGAAGCACACCACATGCAGATGGTTTTATTTGTTTCGTGCCTTCTGTCCCACCTTTTTCCCTCCAAGGAGCTCCAGGTGGCACACATGGTTCTCTCCCCAGCTCATTTAATCCCCAGAAGAACCCTTTAGGGTAGGTTAAGCTGAGAGGCAGGCACTGGTCATCTGTGTTGGGATTTGAACCCTGGTCTCCCAGGTACACTGCAATGGTCCTCTGTCCTGCCTGCCAGCAAGAACTGTTGCTTGTACAGAACTAAGTCAGGGGCTCCTGGGAAACTGAAGATGATATGTACCTGAGGTTTCCCCAGTCTTGCTCTTTGTCACCTGTCCAGTTGCTAGGGAGGAAAAATAATGTGAGTTTTAAAAAGTAAGGTAAGGGTTAAGAAAAGGTCTGGGGCACAGCCCCCTTGGTCTGCCCCATAACAGTGCTCCTAGAAGAAAGAAAGGCAGACTCTTAGAATTGCATCTTTGTACACATATCTTGTCTGGAGAACTGCACTGCAAAATTTGGAGAAATGCTAATTTCGAAGGAGAGTTGTTTTGGTTCAGTTATTGTTTCAGAAAGTTTGAATTCGGTAAGTTCACATCTAAATGGGAACCTAGACAAAGTTTTCACCCATCCTTATGCCCCTAACAATACCTCTGGAGATGGAGAATATTATACCTAAAACAAAAGCTTTGAAAAGTTTTGAAAGAAAACAGCTATAGCGAGTCTCCCCACCCCACAAATCGGTAGTATGTCCGTACTGGCAGGGATTTTTCTTTTTTAGAAGGCAAGAAGAGTCTGCCGGGGGCCTTCTAGTCTAGCACCCTGTTCTCATAGCGGCTGGCCAGGTGCCTGTGAGAAACCCTCAAGCAGGATCTGAGCACAAGAGCCCCCTGCCCTCCCCGCCGGTGGTTCCAGCAACTGCTATCCAGAAACACCCCTGCCTCCAACCATCCTGGCTCACAGCTGTTGATAGCCTTCTCCTTCATGAATTTGCCCAATCCTTGTTCAAAGGCATCCAGGGTGGTGGCCATCACTGCTTCCACGGCTTATCTATCTATCATCTATCTATCTATCTATCTATCTATCTATCTATCTATCATCTATCATCTATCTATCTATCTATCTATCTATAAATAAAAATAGTCTAGTAGTACCTTGGAGACCAACTAAGTTTGTTCTTGTTATGAGCTTTCGTGTGCATGCACACTTCTTCAGATAGTTTGCATCTATGTGCTTTTTGACGGTACAAAGTTCTGGCACCTCTTGTTTGGTTTTGCTGCCATTTTGTGCGGACATCCACGGCACTTCCATCAAGATAGGAGTACCTGGGCCTCCTTTTTTACCAAGATGAGAAGACACGAGGCTTCTGAAAATTAAAAAAGTGTCCCCACTGAGTTCAGTGAAGTTCTATTCCCAGGAGCCAAGCAAATTCCCTGCAAGGGAAGCAGCACATCTTCCCTGATCTCCACTGAGATCAATGAGGTCTCCCTTTGAATCAAAAGTGCGCCTAGGATCCCCCGGCAATCCTATGCACACTTTCTGACCTGGGAGTAGGCCCCACACGTCCTTAAGTTCAAGTGCCCCTTGCTTTTGAGTGAAGAAGGAGAGGACTCTAAAGCAGTAAGACTCCTCTGGAGAGGCTGAAGAGGGCTAACTTCAGAGTCAATCAATCAATCATTTTATTTGTATGCCGCCTTTCCAAAGTTAAAACCAGGCTCAAGGCGGCTTACAACATACAGCAAATTCCACAACTACAAATATAACAAAAGTAGTAATAAACATCAAAAAGTACACAACCAAACTGAACAATTTCCACCTAAATCATAAGATCCAAACGAAAGATACAAAAAATCAACAGCTACAACCCCGAAAGCAACGACCCCTAAACAATGCTCCAGCCCAAGTCTAGCAGTATGTAGAAGGATCGGTGCCACCTTGGAAATGGAGGAATCTTGCACTTTGGCAGGCCTATGTGGACTCTGGTTATTGCAGAGAAGATACAAATCATGTGTTTCTAAGAGCAGTGAAGACCTGGGGCAGTTCCGCGCTGTTTGGTGGGTTTTGTTTCCTCCGCTCCAGATTTAGAGATACAAAATTCTCTTCCCCCACCCAATCACAAAACCTGGCTAAATCAAGGCGTGTTTCTCTGCCTTTATTTTCCCACATTTCCTCTACTTATTTGGAAAATACAACTTCTGCTTATTTGGAAAATACCTCTCTTTTTGTAACTTTAAGGTTTGTTTGTGATTTTAACAACAGCAAGAGCACCTGTGACTAAATTTTGGAAACTGTTTGATTGAAACATTATTAACCACCTAAAAGTGCAGCATTTTTAGTATTCCCAAGTCTGGCAAATGGCTCTGGGCGGGGAGATCCCATAAATTAAAAGCTGCTAGAGAACGCAGTACAATTGACAGATCTTTTTTGCAATATGGTATGATTTTATTTCATTGATAAATGAAGTTTATCATGGCCAGGTGGCCTCTCCTACCTGTACCAAGGTGTGGCTCTTGAGAGATTTTACTCTAGTGAGTTTATGCTTCTTTTAATTTGTTGGAATTATCAATAGTATATGTGGAAACACTGCTCTTAGTCTTTCATTCTGCTTTTTTGCAGGTAAATTTATGAGTTTGAAACAATAATTGCTTACACAGCAGCCACTGTAACCATCTTCATTTCCTTGCTGTAAGTTGCGATTTATACACCTCTTGAGCGTAAAAAACAAGTACTTTGCAAAAAATGATACCAACAATAATTTAAAACATTCAAAATATCAACAGTAATCAGAAGACAGATTAAAGCCATTACATCTTGGTGGGCTCGGAGAGATTTCACTCGGGGTGTCCTTCCTTTGCTATAATTTAAAAATCAATTTAAAATGTTGCACTTTGGGGTTCTTAATAATGTCAAAAATAGTAATTGTTTTTTTAAAACACTGGAACATTTACAGGGCGGAGGGAAGCTGTTTCAAGCCGGGCCGGGGGCCTCCTGCCCGCCCTCCCTTCCCGAGGCGAGGCTGAGTCAGAGGCGGCGGCGGCGGCGGGCCGGGCGGGCGGGCGGGGCGGGCCGGGCTGGCTCGGCTCTGGAGGGCGGCGCCTGCCGCGGCCGGAGACGCGCGGGACCCGCGGCTGCTACAAAAACCCCACCCCGCCCGCCTCTCGCCCGTGCTCAGCCGGACTCGGAGTCTGCAGCCGTCGCCGCCTGCTCGGTAAGTCTCCGGGGGCGCTGCATCCGGAGCGGCTCCGCCTGGATTGACTCCGAAGTGATCTGGATTGAATCTGGATTGAATCTGGATTGACTCCGAAGTGAGGCGGCGGGAGAATTGCACTGCCTTGGTGCGCTTCCATGAGAAGTCAGTCCCGTTGAGTTCAGTGGGACTTACTCTCGCGTAAGCGCGCTCGACTCAGCCTCTCCTTTATGGGGGGGGGGTGCGTGTGTCTGGTGGGCAAAGGTTTGCCCTGCAAAGGAGCTCGGGGAGGATTGGGGCCGCCGTTGAAACCGGCGGGGCTGACTTCGGAGGAGGGCTGCGACGGCTGGGAGTGGCCCTCGGTGCGCTTCGGAGAAAGTCTCCATAGGATCGGGCGTTTAGGCTGACGTCCTACCAATCCTGACTTGTAGGGATGCCATGCGTCCTGATTTTTCCGTACATCAACGGGATTTCAAAAGCATAATTGACGTCCGGGGGGGAATTCCCGGAAGGTGGCGCTTTCTTGTCCTGGATCTTAGTCAAGTCAGTCGCCTTCCTGAAAAAAGCTCAAGAACTTTCGAGGTGTCCTGGTAACTCTGTAATTGGGAGCCAGAGTCGCACGGGCGTGAAGTGTGCAGGGACACCCAACTGCCAAAGCAGAAATGCAAAATGGAAAAGGTTTCTCGGCTGTTCAGAGTGCCAAGAAGCTCCTTAAAAATATAGAAAAGGGGGAAAAATAAATTTTCATTCTGCTGGGGTGAAATGCAAACTAGCAGAACGTGACAAACATTTTCTAGTGTTGTCTTTCTGCTTACTCATCTCTTGCAATACATTTGATTTTACTTTTTGCTAATTCACATACCTGGCTGCATTCCCAGCCCTTTTCTGCATCCTTGGGTGCCCAGCACCTGGCCTGAAGACTCCCCCAAGCCGAGTTGGGTCCTGTGTGTGGAGTCTCTGCTTCTGTCCCTCCTTGGTGCTTTAGAGTCCCAGAATGGTCGAGGTGGAAGGGACCCTGAGGGTCATCTAGTCCAGCTCTCTTGCTCTAGCTGGTGAGGCAGCATCCAAAGACGCCCAGGAGACGGGATTTGCAATATGGATAACTTGGGGACCTTTGGAATGAGGGGCCGTTTGAAAATGCTATTAATAAGAAAGCTTCTGAATGGTTAGACCAGGCTTTAAGCCTTCTGTGTGAGCTGTAGCCTTGCATGCTTTGGGGACAGCTGAAAAAGAGACGCCTTCTTTTCTGGGTTGTCGTGCTGCAATAACGGTGTGTTCATTTATTCACCACCCCTCTTTTTGGACCTCCAACTCCAGGAGGCAAGGATCGAGTATCCAGGCTTGAGACTTTCCTTTAAAAGTTTCCACCTTGTGTGGGGGCACAACCCCCCCCCGCATGCGTGGCTCCCTTTCCCCAAGGCTTGTGTAGGAGACAGTCCCACCCCTTGGTGCCCTCTGCCAGTGGCCCATTGCCAGCAAATCCCAAAGGGCAGCCCAGGGGGCAAGAACTGGATCCAGAGCCCATCCCGAGAGGAGAATAACTGGTCGTGATGGTGCTGTGTTAATTTCCCTGCTTGCCTTTCTGGCTGTGGAGATTCCCGCTCTTGGCTATTAGTTTCAGTCCAAGCCTTGGGTGTGTCCGCCTTCTCGCCCGAACGGCTCTCCTGTTACGTCATTCTGTGAAATATGCTCTTCTCACCCCACAGGCCAGAGCTTGGCATGTTGCAGCAAGTTGTGCAGTAAGCAAAGATGTACTGAGAAAGGGCCACACCCGTCCTGCGTGCTCCGTTTGGGGGAATTATGGATGACTGCAGTGCCTGAATAATAGGAGGAGGCTGCCCCTGAATGAAGCCCACAACCCCCACAACCCCTCCCCAATTAGCCCCCCCATTCTTCAAAAACCAGTTGCTACCTCTGGCCCAACAGTAATCTAACATCTGGATGATTGTATAATCTTTTTAAGTTTCTTGTGAAATGGTTGTGGGGTGTGTGTGTGTGTGTCCTGCAGACATTTGCTTGTTTTCTGAACATAGCTCACTATCTCTCGACCTGAACCTACTTTCCATGGTTGTTGTGAAGCTAAAAGGGGGACAGTTGTTTTTGTTTTGTAACATGTTACAGTAAAAGCATATTTGTAAATAATTTTAAGGTCACAGTCCTAATTCTATTGACCTGGGATGAAGCCCCATTCAGTTCGAAGTGACTCACAGTGCAATTCAGAAGTTAAGTCGCTGAACCAAAATTCTGCAGTTGCTCAGAGAAATTAATAAAAGATTTAAAGTAGCTGCATTTCTGAAGTATTAATGCTTGTTTTGCCTGCAGTGGAACATTCCTCTTGTACAGATACACAGTATGGGGTTTTATAAATGCAGAAAATGGCTTCTGCATTTCTCCCCAGTTTCCTGACTTCTAGAATGTGCTTCTGACAAAGCAGGCTTGGGTCCAGCCCACTAAAACTCCTGCTGCAGTAAATCTGATGGTTGTAAAGGAGCCACAGGACTCCTGGTGCCAGCACTCAGCAGATACTGGCCACCCTTCAGGAGGGCTGCAATATACCAGCCTCCCCCAACGTTGTTCCCTCTTTTTCGTACCACAGCTCCCATCTGGCTGGAGCTAATGTAAATTATGGCCCAGCCTGGAGGACACCCAGTATATGTACCGCTAGTTAACAACAACATCTTTTGAGGCTTTGGGGACCCTGACTCTTCCCTCCCTCCAGGTCCAGAAAGTCATCATTGTGTAGAGGGTAGAATGTCAGGCTGGTTCAAATCTGGCTCAGCTTAACCTCTGCAGGGTGGTCATAGAATGATAGAGATCCTGATCATAGAATGATAGAGACCCTAAGGGTCATTGAACCCAATCCCCTGCAAAGGAGGAGTCTCGACTAAAGCATCCATGACAGACGGCCACCCAGCCTCTGCTTAAAAACCTACAATGGAGAATCCACCACCGTCTTTTCCACAGTTCTTACCATTGGTAGGTTAAGATAAAAATGGGTGTGGCGAAACCATGCATACTACCCTGTTCTCCTTGCAGGGAGAGAAATGTGGTAATTTTCTCTCTCTCCTTTGCCTCTAGTTGGGCAACTGACATTTGGCCCAGGGGTTTCCTGTTGCTACCCTTTGATTCTGTGGGATGCCTTTGTGAAGAAACCATCGACCAGTGTAGTTGTGTGAAGCTGCAAGCCACAGTTGACGTGAAATACGGGTGGGAGGGAGGTGAAATCTACCCCAGGCTGGCTCATGAGCAGAGCTCTCTTGACTTGTAGGTGCTGGCACAGCCCAGCAACACACCCTTGCCTCTCCTTCCAGCTAAATAACCAGCACTGCAAAAATTAAAAAGGTTTGTTTTTTTAATAGTGCTTTCAAACACTGAGTAGGAGAGCTGGCTTCTCTTCCTGCCTCCTCCCTGCTTTGAACTTAATTAAGTTCTGCTGCAGAGTTTGGCATGATCTCATTCTGGCTTGCTGTCTTTGTGGGTTCCGTTTGCAGCAGTGACGGCCTGCCTTTTCCTGCAAAATACTTATCAAAATGAGAAAGCTTTCAGCAATCCTGTTTTGGTTTAGAGAAGGCCTCCCCCCTTCTCACCGTTCCTGTGGAGGTAGACCTCTTGGGTGCGTCCTTTGGGGCAGCTCTGTGCCTCCCTCTCCTCCTTGCAGCCCCACATTCCTCCATGGCCACGCCCAGCCTTCCTTGGAGACGTGGCTCACACAAGCTCAGGGTTTCCATTCTCTCATTCTGAAGACTTCTGAAACTTGAGCAACACCTTGCTTTTTGTTTTTCTGTTTTTTGCCATCTCCAGAGGGGCCACTCCCTTTCAGGCTAGCACAATGGCCCTGACCATGCCTAGTGAACAGTTGCCAGGAGCTCCTCTCTCTCCCCTTTTCTTGGACTTGATCTGTGCATCCAGACAACACTCTGAAGGCTGGTTCAAGGACTTGGCTGGGGCAGAAGGAAGGTGCCAAACGCAAGACAGAGAGAGGATTGGGGCTTTTTTAAAAAAAGGGTGGCAATGTTTAGTCAATTGATTGGTTACTTACTTATTTCATAAGATTTAAACACCACTCAGTTGTTAAAACCCAAAGTGGTTTCCAAAAAAGATAGAAAAGAAGAAGCGCGGGTGTCGCTGTGGGTTAAACCACAGAGCCCTGGGGCTTGCCGATCAGAAGGTCGGCGGTTCAAATCCCTGTGACGGGGTGAGCTCCCGTTGCTCTGTCTCTGCTCCTGCCAACCTAGCAGTTCGAAAGCACAAAGTGCAAGTAGATAAATAGGTACCGCTCCAGCGGGAAGGTAAACGGCGTTTCCGTGTGCTGCTCTGGTTCACCAGAAGCGGTTTAGTCCAGCTGGCCACATGATCTAGAAGCTGTCTGTGGACAAACGCCGGCTCCCTTGGCCAATAAAGCGAGATGAGCACCGCAACCCCAAAGTCGGTCACGACTGGAGCTAATGGTCAGGGGTCCCTTTACCTTTACATTTAAGAAGGATTAACAACAATAATTTATGACTTTTCAAAAGTTAAAATAACAGTAAGCTAAAAACAGATAAAAATTTACATCAGCTTTCTAAACATCTAGGGTAGGCTTGACTACACAATACTGTTTTTAGCAGGCACCAAAATGGGTACTGTGAAGGTGCCTGCCTGACATCAATTGGCAGGGAGTTCCAAAGTGTAGGTGGTGCCACACTAAGACATTGAGTTCTTTAAAAATTCAGAGCATGTATTAGGTTGGCACCTGAGCCAGAAGAAGGGGCCTCTTGCAAAGCAATCCAACTTGGATGGCTTTTTTAAAGAACTGGACAGATTCATGTAGGAGAAGGCTATCAATGGCTCTGCTGTGCTTGCAGTGTTGGCTTCCGAATCCCAGCTGCTGGAAGCCACAGGAGGGGAGAATGCTCTTGTGCACAGACCCTGCTTGCAGGTGCCCCCCAGGCATCTAGCTGCCCACTATGAGAACAGGATGTGGACCATATGGGCCATTGGCCTGATCCTGCAGGCTCTCCTTGCGTTCTTTTGAAAGTTCCTTCTAAGGATTCTCCGGAGAGTTCTCCTTTGTGAATTAAACTATATGGCTTCCACTGGGGCAGGCAGCTTATTCTGTGCTGCCCCTGTTCCTCATCTGCTTGAATGACGCCAGGCTATTCCGGCATGCTCTGGTCAAGTTTTGAGCATGTGTAGATCTGAACTTGAATCCATGTCCAGCTGTGATGCTGCCTTGAAATAATAATTTTACCTATTAACACACATTTTAAAAACTCAAGGAGAAACAGAAAGGGCATGGTGATTATGCCTCTGGTATGGTTTGAGCTTTAAGGGTTATGGTGAGTTTTCTGGAATTAAGTAGCTCTCAGTTTCACATGGCATCCTTGGAGTGGGGTAATGAAGGCCCTGCGGCTTGGGTGGCTGCCGCCCCCCTTGATTCTCATTCTGCCCCATGGGATGCAGATGTATCTTACTCTTCATCACACTGGGCTAAACAACACAGCCTTTAGTTCCTTCTTCCATTAGGAGCCAAGTGGTGTATCCAGCTTTGGCAACTTTCATACAATTCATTTAAAGCACTATGATCCCAACTTTAAACAGTCATGGCTTCCCCCACCCCAAAGAATTCTGGGAGCTGCAGTGCGTTAAGGGTTCTGAGAGTTGTCAGACTGTTTCCCTCTCAGAGCTCCAGTTCCCAGAGTGGCTTAACAGTCGATCTCTCTTCCCAGGGAACTCTGAGAATTGTAGCTCTGTGAGGGGAATAGGGATCTCCTAAAAGCTCTCCGCCCTTTGGGGGAAGCCATGAGTGTTTAAAGTGGTGTCATAGTGCTTTAAACAGATGGTGTGGCCAGCGTACTTCTCAGGGTCTCCTCTGGGAAAACGTGGTTCCAGGGGAGGCTGGGCTATGATTAGTCCTCAGCCAGCCACCAACTGCCGACCTCCTTGCTTACAACCAGTCCAGGGGGTGGCATGGCCTGTCAGCTGCTTCCCCCTCCTTCATCTCTGTTAACCCACTTGGAACTCAGCAGGGAGAAGGATGGGTTTGCCTGCCATTGGCTCTTGCTCCCCCGCCCGTGGGGCTGCCCCTTCCTCCCTGCCAGCATCAGCCGCCACTGCTTCGTTCAATACCACCGAATGGATGCTATGCCTTCTGCTGCACTTAGATTTCGGTACAGTACATCATTTGGTTGAAAACTGATTTGTGTCAATTTCCCTGCAGGCTTGCAATCTTGGTTTAAAGCTCTGTATCGAATGAGAGCTTGTGTTCCTTCTATAATAAGAAAGAGCAAACCCTTTGTGCTCTTTGTGTTTCCCATTTCTGAGCTGTTGATAGATGTGACAGGGTAAACCTCAGGGTACGTGGCAGACCACTGTCCCTAATACCTGTATCAGGCATAGCTCTCTTGAAGGGTGAACCGTTCTGTGCTTAAGAAAAAGCAATAATTTTTTGCAATTGGACTAAATTGTACACTTTAGGCTATTCAGTTAGAATCAATTGAGTTCTGGGCAATTTTGCACAAATGTTAGGTGTACGCAATTTTGGCTGGGTTTCCATGCTAAGCTAGACCCTTAATTTTTGTTGCTAAAGTCTAGGCAGTGCAAGCTGTGACAGAATTATAGCCTCAATTACTTACTGGGCAGAGGAGATTGCGGGAATTGATGTATATGCTCAGATGGGGACTCAGGGCTACAGCGGGAGAGGGAAGGCATTTTATAGTCTGATGTTTGCAAACACCTTGGGAACTCTGGCGTAGGGTTTTTCTTGTGTCTGTGTTTTCCAAGTCTCTAGTGCAGGCAGGCGTACAGAGCCTGTATCTCTCCATTGCTTCCCTCCAGCCTGACCAGCAGCTGAGGATGATTGGAGAGGGGCGTTTCCCACCCCTTCCCTAGTGGTTTGTGCATTTCCAACTCTTCACTGCACTCATGAGGACTAGAGGCCTCCTGCCGCAGTTGAAAAATGCAAGAGTCTGCAGCAGCTTCCAGATCCTGTGTAGTTGGCAGTCCACAGTTCACAGCATAGTCACGCAGTTCAAGATCTGTGACCTCATTTATCTTTTAACAAACTCATCTTTGCAGAATTCCCATCTTCCTGCGCTCTCTCTCTCTCCTCTCCTCCTCCTCCTCCCCCATGACTGGGCTGCAATAACGTTTCTCTGATTGGCCTCCATTTACTACAGTGTTATGTGGCAACTCAGCCGACATTCCAAGGGCGTGTCGGCTGAATCACTGGACTTGGTTCTCCCTCTGCCCTGCCTTTTTCTGCCTTGTCTCAACAAGCCTGCTTGGCTGTGGTTTTCATTCAGTTTTGTAACTGAAGCTCTTTTAAAAATCAGTTGGTGCTCTGGCCGAGGCTATTTTTATTGCAATGACTTTCAACTCTTGGTGAGGGTAGGGCAGACAGTGGCATTTCCTTTAAATTATTATTATTATTATTATTATTATTAAAATGATGTAACTTTAAGTGTGTCTCTCTGTGTGTGCCAGTGTGGTGCAGTGGTTAGCAGACACTCCAAGTGTCCTTATTTTCCAGGGACAGTCCCAGATTTACAGATGTCATCCCGGTTTCTGATTTGATCTCGGAATGTCCCACTTTTCCTTAGGACATGACTATTTTCATTGGGAAAATGTTGTGGGGGATGGAGTTTTGTGACCGCGAAGCCAAGGAGATAATTAACTATATCATCTTTAGAAGGCATCTGAAGGCAGTCCTGTAGAGGGAAGTTTCTTTAATGTTTTATTATGTTTTTATATATGTTGGAAGCCTCACAGAGTGGCTGGGGCAACCCAGGCAGATGGGTGGGGTAGAAATAATAAAATGATGGTGATGGAATAGGACATCCCTATTTTCATCAGAGAAATGTTGGAGGATATGGGTTAGAGTGTTGGATTAGGACCTGGGAGAGACCTGGATTCCAATCTGGACTTTGCCATGAAGTTCACCTGCCTCTAAACCTGATCCTACCTCAAAGGATTGTTGTGAGGATAAAATGCCAAAGGGGGGGGGAGGGCCATGTGGGCCACCTTGAGCTCCTTGAAGAAAAAGGTGGAATCAGGGCCATCTTAAGCATATCCGGCACCATGGTGCAAAGCTCCCTGTGGCCCCCCCCGTTTTCCAGGGTTTTTTTAGGGAGGTCGGGCGGGGCTGGAGGAGGCGGGCAGCGGCTGGAGGGCAGCTCCTTCTGGAGGGGAAGAGGTGGAGGCTGGATACGGCACCTCCCAGCTCAGCTGGCCCCTTTGTGCCGCGGAGGCTCTGGGCGCAGCGCTGCTTTGGCGTGGCATGGTGGAGGCGGGCGAGGGCAGCGAGGTAATGCTGGGAGGCGCTGTGTCCAGCCTCTGCCTCTTTCCTGGCGCCCTCCAGAACTTGGCGCCATGGTGCCCCATGCCAATAGCCTCTATGGGTAAGATGCCCCTGGGTGGGATGCAGATGCAATAAATATATGCAGGGCTTTTTTTTCAGTCGGAATTTGGCAGAACTCAGTTCTGGCACCTCCCAGGTGGGCGCCATTGCCATTATTAGAGAACGAGGGAGGCAAACCTGGTGCGTTCCAGCACCTCTTTTTCTAGAAAAATCGCACTAAATATATGAATGGTACCTTACAGCTTGATAAGCTTTGATTAATGAGTGAAACTGGGGGGGTATCAAATGTATCAGGACACCCTAGCTGGGGGTGGGGTGGGGGCTCTGCATTACTTAGGTGGTTTTTGAAGGAGATTGGGGAGAGTCAGAGGAAGGTGGATCCCAATAGGCCTTGGAAGCACAACTATTTATTTGAATTCCTTTAAAGCCACACCCTTTTTCCATTCTGGAGCACAGTGACTTAATGGGAACAGAACATTAAAGCAATAATACAGTACAAAGAGTATCGTAGAGTCACAAGACGGCAATAAAATGGCTGAGATTAAAATATTGATGGGACCACAACCCAGCAGCAGTCTGCTCTGTAACCCAAATGCCTGGATTAACGGGAATGTCTTCAGCCTTAAAAGTTTTTTTTTATTGGTTGGGGCATGCATTTAAAGCACATCCAATGCACATATAAATTACATTACTTTCCCCAAAGAACCCTGGGAGCTATAGTTTGTTAGGGGGGCTGAGAATTACATGTTTTGCTTGGAGAACGGTGTTGCAAAATTCGGAGGCCTGAGATTTTGGAGATTGCTGTGTTTCCCTTGCCTTATTGCTTCAGGGACTTGGAATTAGATCAGCTCTTCTAGGTTGTTCTGAGGGTGGGGATGTGGTGGTGGTTGGGGAAACCATGGGGTGGACTGGATGACCTTCTGGTAGATAGCTGTTCAGCGCCACTCACTTTCATGGCTGTGTGTTTCTACCAGGAAGGAAACTGCTTATTGTCCACCTACACCCACACAAACACACCCACACACCCTGCTGTAACTGTTGCACCTTCATAGGGTCACACAACAGATTCATTCTCTCTCTCTCTCTCTCTCTCTCTCTCACACACACACACACACACACAGCCAGTCCTCAGTATATTTGAAAAGTGAGCACAGCTGCTGCACACAGTGTACCATTGTCAGATGCTGTTTGGCAGCTGAAATATTTGTCTAACCTAAGGAATTTGGGAGTTCTGTTCTCATGCCGGATTTCCAGGAATGCAATGGTGGGGCTTGAATTCTTCTCAGCAACACCTTTTCTACAACAGCTGCCCCTCCGTCCCAGATTTTTGAGCTCCTCCCAGCCCAACAGAGCTATTTGGCTTGCAAAGGCATTGAAGATACAGGGAGTTTAAAAAAAACTTGTTGGAAGAGAAGAAAGCAGGTTAAAATCAACACATTTTCCCCCTGACTAGCTGCTTTGGCCTTTTCAACACCTTTGTTATTTCAAGTTGCCAGCCTTTGTACTTCTGGGTTTTTTGTCTTTTTTGGTTTTTTTAAAAGACTCTTCCAAATCTTCAAGTTACTAGTCCACAAATGCTTTTCTGCCCTGCCTGCCTGCCACTCATTTGTTGTCTAGGTTCTAATACTAACAAAGGTTCTAAAGTTTTGTTTCCTGTTGAGTCTACCTGTTGACAGCCCCCAAAGTGGCTACTGTAAAACTGAAATATTGCAATTAGTGCAGTAATTCCAGAACAGTGCTATGAGAGACCTACTACTTTACTGCAGTAAGTAAATTGAATTACCGTAAATATTGCTATGAGTCTAAAGTATGAATAAAAAAGAATGCCTTTAAGAGGCACTTCCACAGTATTTCCTGTTATTGGCCATCACTTGCAGGGGACAGAGCAAGGCTCTGTGTCAGGGGAAATTTAAATTACCCAGTCACTCCTGATGCAAAGTTAGAGTGGAATTAGTCGTTGGAGGAGGATTCTTGTTGCATCTCTGTGTAATATGCTGCTCTCGGCTGGACTCCATCCACCGAAGGCGCACAAACCCAGACAGTGTTGAACCATAAGAGATGGGGTCCTTACCCCTGTTGTTTCCAATAGTCAAGCTCCTTGGGGCAGGAGTGTGTTTCCAGTTTTAATCTGGAATGTGGTCTGTGTTTCTGTGTGTCATTTAACTGCTGGAAATTTTTGGAAACTTCCTTAAGATCAGTTTTGGTATTTTGGCATCTGATTTTTTTTTTTAATGTCATGTGAGTGGAGAAGCCTATATCTCGGCAGTTAGGTAGAGATGGTTTTGTTTCGTTTTTCTCCTTGACTAGGCTTAGCCTGGAACTTCAAACCAAATACACATTTTGACACTGAGGCTGCTGCATTGCTCAAGTTCTAAGAAGGAAATGGCTAAGGGCACCTGTAGACGTTCCCTATTTATGCTGGCCGAGGTCAATGGGAGCTGCAATCCAGAACCTCTGGAGGACACTGGGAGATGGGCAGGGGTCCTCTGAACCTGGGTCACTGCCCCTTTGCACTGCCCCTTCAGGATGTGATTTGCATTCAGTTGCTCTGCCCCCTTTTCTTCTCTTTGAAAGCCTGCAGCTCCTTTTTCTTTCATGGGGCTTCAGGATGGGCGAGAGAGGAGTGGAACCAGGAGCCTGTGAGTTTGGGCATTGGCCAAGCCTCTTCCTTGGCCAGGACTCCTTCCCATGTTTCACTCGCTGCCACACCCTCAAGCTGCCTTGTTCTCTTTGCCAGCTTTGTTAGCTGTTCCCTTGGTTGGGAGCACTTTATTTATTTGTAAAAAGCCTTAATGGCGTTCTGACGTTAATCCCTGCATGACAGCCCTTTCTCCATTTAATTCATACTTCACAGCCTGAAAGCCATTTATGCAACTAGCCTTAACTTACCAGAATAAAAGAAAATATATGATCCACTTTGCCTTTCCTGTTTTTAAGCATTCAGTTTCATTCAGAAGATCCCACCCTTCTTGTATGTCAGGGCTCTGCCTCTCCTCAGGAGGAGGCCACCCACTTGCAGGAGCAGCAAATGAATGGTGATTTTGATAAAATACATATTTTTATTTAATGGGCAATTCTAGAAAATAAATTTTTTTAAATGGCAACTGTAGCCCCAGTTGGGCTCCCTAATCGTAGATTGTAGCGTTGGAATGAGTCCCAACTCCTACAACACTGGAATCACAGCTAAATAACCTGGACAGATGGCCATCCAGCTTCTGTTTAATAACCCCCGTGAAGGAGAGTCCACCACCTTCCAAGGTAGTCTTTTCCACTATGGAACAGCTCTTACGTCAGAAAGTTCTTCCTATGGTTTAGTCGGAATCTCCTTTCTTGGCATTTGAATCCATTGGTTCAGGTTCCTGCTCTCTGGAGCAGCAGAAAACAAGCTTGCTCCATCTTCCAGCCTTTGAGATATTAGAAGATGGCTATCAGATCCCCTCTCAGTCTTCTTCAGGCTAAACACCCCCAACTCCCTCAACATTTCCTCCTAAGGCTTGGTTTCCAGGTAGCTTATCTTGGTCCTCCTCCTCTGCACATATTTCAAACCCTAATAAATGGAGGTATTGCAGTGTGCAAGAAGGGAGGACTTGACAGTTTCTTCTGTGCTGCAGTCGGGTGTTGGTGATATAGTGGTTTGGGTGTGGATCATCCAATATATGTGGAAAGCACCTGGTTGGCGAATTTAAATGAAATAAAGAGCATGAAAATCTTGCAAATGGGAGGAAATTTCCCATTGACATTCTTTGCTGGGATTTTTGGGGAATTGAAAGGTATTGAAAGAAGATTAGGGTGATGTTACAAATATCCTTCCTTCACTGCTGTCTAAAACATGTTTTCTTTTGCAGCCTGACACCCTGTTGAAATGTTGCAGCTGCATACCCACTATGCCTTTAAAACACACCGGAACCACATTCTTTCCCTCAAAGAATTCTGGGCACTGTAGTTTCCCCTCACAGAATTGCAGTTCTTAGAAACAATTAACAAACTACAGTGCCCAGAATCCTATGTGAGAAAGAATGGCTTTTGAATGTGCCTTAAAGGTAAAGCGTGTACTCGGCCTCAGTGCTTCTATGCTCAAGCAGATTGACTTGAACTCTTCTTACTTTCTTCCAGCCTTCTCTCAAGATGTCAACGGTCCACGAAATCCTATCCAAGCTCACCCTTGAGGGAGATGTAAGTATTGCTCCATTTACCCCCCCCCCCCGCTTCCCCCTGGCCCATCCCGACTTCAAACACATCTGTGTGCATGTGGTGTATTTATGTATTGGGGAATGCCTCTTTTGAATGGCACTCAAAAGTTCAAGCCGTGCATCTCTCAGGCAGCAAGTGTTGTGAAAGTCCCCTCTGGATACGCTGGAGGAAGTGGACCAGTGGCTTCCATGTGCTCAGTGGGCAGTGCCATGTGCTCAGAAATGCAGACATTCCCCTGGACTGAGAATAGGCTCTTTCGAAAGTTGTTGTTTTTTACACTTGCACAGAATAAACCTTTTGAGGTGCAAGAGTGTGCACCACTGTTTCTAACTCAGGGCGGAGGAGAGAGGTGGGGGTGCTTTGGTGTCCAGAGGTTTGGGAAATGCTCTTTAAAGAAATGTCCTCAGGCAGTCTCCTGAGTGAGTCACACCAGATCTGTTATTCCAGTGGGACCTGCCTGGTGGTGGGTGTGCAGCTACCAGATCCCTTGAACTGTAGGGGGAACAGATTGAGTTGAGGCCCTTCTGCAGGCCGGGCATCTGCTCCACGGCTGAGCTACGAAACCCATCCCAGACGTGTTCGATGATAAGCCAGCAAAAGAATGTGCTTTTATTCTGAGTGGTGTCAGCTTCTCCATGGTGCAATTAAACTTTTCCACTCGCTGCTTTTCTTGGCATCAGAAAGGAGCAGAATCTTCTGGAAAATCTGTCTATGGTGCACATAGGCCAGCAAAAGGCCAGCTTCCACCTTGGCTGAGAGAGGTGGGAATAGCCAAGAGGTGGTAGTTCAGTAAAAAAAAAAGGGGGGGTGTGTGTTTACACCCTCCACCTGGAGTCTTACATTTTTAAAGGCTGTGCTTGAATAACCTGTTTCACAAGCCTTGCTGGAGAGGAGGAATTATGGGTGGCAATTCTGTGTTTGGAGGTTGCTATCTATCTATCTATCTAATTAATTAATTAATGTGGATACTGTCCTTCATCTGTAGTTCTTGGTGGTTCACAACATAAAAGCACAAAATACCTAATACGAACAAGAACAACCCCGCTTTCCTTTCACCCCGTCTGATCATTGGCCCTTTTAGCTGCAATAGTCACAGGTGCTTTTTCCCTGGAGCAAAGCTTACAAAAGGAAAGGAACCTCCACTCCCTCCCCTCAGGGATCTTGGGGTGATGGCAGTTTCCTATTTTTGTGTTGCAATACCTCATATTTTGTGCCATTCCTGGCAGTGAAGCAAGTGGAAAAGAACATGGCTCACCTCTTGCAGGTCTTGCTGGCCTCATTGCACCGTTTCTGTTTTTGACATTTAAAGAAGCAGAATTTATTTATTGCATGCATTTGTACACAGCTTTCTGATTTTTTAAAAAAGTGGCCCACAGATAACAACTATTTGGAATTCAGTTACCTTTAAGCTGCACATGAGACTATCACAGTACTCAAGGACAATATCCTGGTATTGATAATTAAAACATATATTTTTATTTAAATGTTCCTTCTCTCCCAACACCAATGAGAACAAGTTTTTTCCAGGGAATGTGAATGAAACAACTCAAATTTGTACTTGGTATGTGTATGTTTAATTTTCAGTTTCCATTTGGGCTTTTCTTGTTGTTTTAGTGTGTTGTTGAAGTGGGTGGTCTTGTTTAAATAAATAGAAAGTTTTTTGCTTTTTTTAAAGACCCATAAGACAGCTCACAGGCAAAGTTCTTATACATCAGGGATGAGGAGACTGACTCCTATCACCACCGCCATCTGCTTTCTGGGGCTGATGGGAGTTGGAGTCCAGGAAGGCCTGGTCCTGTCTTTGTTTTATGCATTGGGTCTGTTCTGTGAGATAAGAAAGTAGCCGCCCTGTCAGGTGAGAAGACGGTGCCATTTCCCCCATGGACGTTAGGCAGGCTTTCCTCTTGCAAGAACAGAGCTGCTGATTTAATGGAGCCAGTTTGGAAGGTCATTCCCCCCTCTCCTCTTCTCTCCCACAGCATGCTCTCCCTCCAAGCGCCTACGCCACAGTCAAGGCGTACGGGAACTTTGATGCGGATCGCGATGCCGCAGCCCTCGAAACCGCAATCAAGACCAAAGGTAGGGCCGGGCAGGGGAGACCCTCTGTCCTCCATTGGCAGCTGCCATGTCCTTGACTAGCCACCGTCAAGCATTACTTTATTATTATTGCTTATTAACTTTGAATACCACCCTTCATCCATAGATCTCAGGGCAGTTCACAGCATAAACATACAATATAAAAAACGCAAAATACACAATGCTATTAAGAATGAAAACAAACCAATCATCTCCTCTCCTACAACCCAATTAAAAGGGTATCAGATGTTAATCGGCCAAAGACCTGGTGGAAGAGGAATGTTTTTGCCTGGTGCCAAAAGGTGTATAACGAAGGATCCAGCTGAACCTGTGTTACATCCTTAGATTAAACGACTGGGTGACACCCGTTTCTTTCCCAGGGAAGCTATTCAGGAGCTCAAAAGCAGCATGAAAGCAACTCTTTCTGGTAGATAGGAGGTCGTTCCTGCAACAGCAAATGCTTTGCCGTGTTGAGGCTCTTCTTGTCCCATGTTGCAAATTTTCTTTCACTGCAGGAATGGGGAACCTGTGGCCTTCCAGATGTTGTTGGACACCCAACCCACTCCAACTTCCTTGACCATGGGGTTGCTGGGAGTTGGAGTCCAACGATATCTGGGGCACCACAGGTTCTCCACCCCTGGTTTAGAGCCTGACCCCACCCAGAAGGAGCTCATTTTGGTAGCAAAACATTCTTCTGGCCTACAAGGTAGGTTGAGATGAAAGAGATTGGGTGGTAGGGGCAAGTGCAAAGTAGCAAGGCCAGTGTGCTCATGGCCGTGCACAGCATTTCTGTTTTCCAGTCTGAGTCTGGGCATTGGCTTTAATGATGCCAGAACCCTTTCATCTCATGATAGTTTCATAGCTGTGCTGTTTCGTTCTTTTGCCTGTCAGTACATGCCATACTTTGCAAAGGCAGAGCCTGTGGTGTGACTTTGGGCTGTGGAGCCTCATTCTGTATGGATTAGTATTGGGGGTGGGGGGCTGGACCCACCTGTATTGAGTTTCAGATTGCAAGCTTCTTGGGGCAAAGACCTGCCTTCTTCTACTTTGCAAAGCACCATGCATACAGGTAGTGGTTTATACATACATATAAACAATATGTTGCAGGCAAAACCTGCAACAAAATCTTGCAGCTTGTTCATAGGTGGAATTGCATCTGCTTAACCCCAAACAATGAGTCACTGTGTATACTCAGTCCTCATTGGGCTGTAGCTGGGGAGGTGTTCCAGGACTTTTTTGAACTCTGACCAACTTTGGGGTCCCTCATCATATGTATGAGTGGCTTACTTATTACAGACTGCTACTGCAGTTACCTTTTGTATTTGTGATGATGCTCCCGCAGCTACCATGCTGGCTTGGTAACCTGTGAATTGGAGGTGGCATTGCAGAATTCAGTCCATTGCATTGCATCCTTGCTTGACTTGAACAGGATTGGCCCTTAACTGATGGGCCTATTTTCTGCAAAAAACCCTCATCATTCTACCATTTGTGGGGCAGAAGGGAGATAACAAATGTGCAAAAATGGAATTCACCTAGTTTGGAGAAACGGGGGGAGTCCTGTGGTTACTTCATGGAACATCTGGATCTTTCTCAGAGCAGTGGCGAGAAGCTCTTGCACATCCCTTCATGTTACTGAGAGCAAAAGCCTGAAGCAAAATAACTATTGGAAACACTTTGACCAGCCTGGCATGATTGGCAGGCCACACCTTAGTTTTTAAAAATTGGAGAGAGAGAAGTGTTGATGGAGTAAATCAAAGAGAGCACACCTGCTGTTTTTGCTCTGGGGCTTTGTATGTACCATGCATCTGTCAAGCACTCTGAGATGCCTGAAATTTCGTTTTTAAAAATAAAGAACATGCTTCTGGCCCTCAGTGTGGTGGGGAAGGAAAAATACTCTTTGGACCCCACAGCCCTAATCTTTATCTTTTTTTCTTCTCCTATTCCTTGCTTCAGGTTCATTATATTTTTTAGTGAAAGAGGAGAAAGTCTACAAACCTCCCTTGTTGTTCTTTTTTTGTTAGATCATGGCGTTTGCTGTGGCATGCCCCTGGGCGTGGCAAGTGTAAGTTGCCCTTTTGCATGTGAGATGTCAAACGGAAACCTTTTGATATAATGTGAACCTTTTGATATAAAAGATAAATGGCCACGCAAGCAGCCACAAAGGCGAGGCTCTGCTCCTCCCTGCTGGAGCAAGCTCCTCCTGAAGGCGGCACTGGAGGAGGAGGAGAGGAGGGGCAAACCATCACTTTACAGGAGGTTGGCTAGTAGTTCATCTCACACCGGTGTCCTGAAAGGATGCTACAGCTCACAGTTGCAGGAGCTCTCCACTTTGGAACTTCCCCTTTGCAGGCCAGCTTCATTCCTTCTGTTTGGCTGTGGGCCTGTGCAGTAATTCTCACTAGTTACTAACCACATGGCTGTGCTCTGCCGCCACAGTTGGAGGCAGCAAGGCTTCCAAATACCAATCTCTGGAAGCCACAAGGAGGCAAGAGTGCCTTTGTGCTTGAATCCTGTTGTGGGTTTCCCACTGTAAGATCACAATGCTGATCTTGGCCTGATCTAGTCAGACTCTTCTTACCCTGAAGCCACAATGGACCACAGAGTAGCAAAGCAAGGCGCATCTGTTAGCCAGTGGACAAAAGTGTCTTTTCTGTTTGCCAGATTAATCAGAGCACTGCAACAGGAGATTAAGAACTCCCTCCTTCCCTTAAGACTGAAAAAGAAGAACTCTGAGCTCCATTCTTCCCTGAACAGCTCACTGCCCCTCCCCTGTCTCAGCAGCTATGAGTCAGCATCCTGCTTCTGATATCCTCTTACCCTGAAATGCAAAGGGATTTTTCCAACCCTCACCTCCTGCTCCACATAAGCCAGAAGAATGAACACAGCCTGTTCCACTATCTCTGCAGACTTTGGAAGTGGCACAATTCTGCATTCTTCCTTGGGGAGAGTGACTTTTCCTGTCCACCTGCTCTGCACTCCTCCTTAACTGCTTTTTGTCAGGACTAAGCTGGGTCTCCCTGTCTGTGGTTTGGACACGGTTGAAACTGGAAAAAGTGCCCAGCATTGATGCAGGTCCATGAATGAATGAGAGGATCTGTATAGATATACAATGGGGCAGTGAAGAGTTTTCTGTGCACACAAATATCTAACTACACTTGATGACCAGCAGTAGAACATGAGAAGGGATTCAGTTGCATCCTATCCTTTAGATGGCAGGCTCAAGCATTATTATTTTTTTACTGAAATTTCCCTGGGCAGTTAAAATTGTCTAAGCTTTAGCCTGCGTAAAGTTTTTTAATTGTTGTCTGTTATAATTTTTATTGTTGCCTTGCATAAATTTATTATTTTATTGCTCATTTCCCTGGAATTGGATGAAGGGTGGTATCTAAACTGTGTTAGTTTGCCATGTGATGGTGTATTCACTTAGAGATCATCTTTTGTGGTCCATTCCAATCTGTCTCTTTGTAGCAGCGTATGTGGGTACTTCCGTTTTCTGAGGCATCAGCATTTGATCAATAAAAACCACCACCACCATTGACTTTCAAAAATGCCCCCAGTTTAAACTGGGGAGTAAACATATAAAATACTTTTAATACAAGCACTCATGGAAGCTTCAGGTGCCCAGAGGCTTCCTCTTTTTCTCTTGCCCAGGAGGGAAGCCTCTTTTGAAGCAGCACCTGCTATGGCTCATATATGAGTAAACTAAAAACAGAGGTTATTGAGTTGTTTTTTAACCCTCCTATTTAAATGTAATTGAGCTAATGACCCTATGAGTTTTAGTTGATTTATCAGCTCAGGTTTCTTTAACTGGGTGGCAGTTGTTCTCCATGCGCAACAGCCTTCTCAGGAGGTTAGGCTGAGAGTTTGTGGCTGGCTGAACCCACCCTACAAAGGGTTGCTCTGGCTGAAATCCAGTATTAGTCATCACTTTGTGTCTCTCATGCATATTTCTGCTGCACCCCTCAAATGCTCAGTGAGTCATCTTTTTCTTCAGTGATTCATATTCTGCCGTTTGTGTGAAATGTCCCTGCAAGAACGGGCGGATCCTGTGAGCATCCCCTGGCCACAGCCCCGCATGGACTGAAATCCAACACCAGGAAATGCCAGCACATCAGTAAAGCCTGGCCCAAGATATTTTGCTGCCACAAGCAGCAAAGCCTAAATAACATCCTTCCTTCATGAGTTAACATTTGACATAAGACCCGCTGAAATGAATGGGAGCCACCAAACTGCATGCTAGTAGTCTTTCTGTAGAGTGCAGGGATATTTTTGGATTTTAAAAAAAAGTTTTCTAGACCTCGACAGTGGAAGCAGCAATTTAGGAAGACTAAGGTGGTGTTCCTTTTTTTTGCTTTTGCAATACAGTAGTACCCTGGTTTACGAACTTAATCCGTTCTGGAAGACCGTCCTTAAACCAAAGCATTCTTAAACCAAGGTGGGGGACTCAACTTACACTCAACAGGAAGCCGAACATGTTCTGCTTCCAAGGCAAAGTTCACAAACCAAAACACCTACTTCCAGGTTTGCAGCGTTCTTAATCCAAGTTGTTCATAAACTAAGCTGCTCTTAAACAAAGGTACCACTGTACAGCGATGTTTCCCACTGGGCCACCTTTAATGGCACTCTCCTCTCACCTTGCCTCAAGGGAGGGCCACCTCTGTATCTGGAACATTAGGTAAAGTGTCCGTGGTGCGTGCTAGGGGATGTACATAACGTGGACATGATATGGTCCGTGGACAATTTGCCTGAAGCCAGTTGCTAACCTTGTATCCTCCCACTACAGTTCCCATTGATTGACTGAGTTTGCTTATATGCTGCTTTCGCAAAAGGAGCTGTGCTCAAAGCGGCTTATAGCAGCCATTCAAATCATTAGAACAGAGAACACTAGAAATACAAATATACAAAATACAGAACGTGTCAGTAAATTCAAAATAAGAAAAACCAACAATTTAGCAAACAAAGCACAAATTTAATGTTACAAAACCAAACCAATCCCAATCTAGGCTTAAGTACATAAATAAAAAGCAAAAGTGAAAAAGTGAAATGTTTGTCCTAGCCAGCATCTAGTGGAATGCTCTTTGAAGACAGTGTGGCACAGTGGTTAGTGTCTTAGACTACGGAGACCCAAGTTCAAATCTCTGCTCAGCCACAAAGCTCATTGGGTAAGCTTGGGCCAGCTGCTTTTTTCTCAAAACTAATCAACCACACAGGGTCAATCTGAGGATTAAAGAAAAAGGTTGGAGAACTTTTATATGTGCTGTCTGAGCTTTATAGATAAAGTGCAAACAGCCTTAAAGTTTTATTACTTTCAAGTGGTATATAAATTTTGTGAAACAAAAATAAATGTAAAAAATGTAAATAACTTGTATCTCATTTCCATCTGTTATTATAACTGTTCTCCCTGTTTTATACACATTATAAAATGAATTTTTTTAAAATGCAAAAAGAAGAAAATGTTCAATGAAGAGTGGGCTATAAATATTGCAAATCAATCAATGTGCATTGTTGTGCTTTTTTTGTAATCTTCTGAAAGTTTTGAGGATTGGGACACTGTTTTTGAAAACCCAGCTGGCCCCGGGTTTGCCTTTTAAATCTTTGCAGAAACTACAACATCCAGACCTCTTGCCAATGACCTGTTTGCTCTCCCTTCTCTCTCCCTATGCAGGTGTGGATGAAGTGACAATTGTCAACATCCTGACCAACCGCAGCAATGAGCAGCGCCAGGACATCGCCTTCGCTTACCAGAGGAGAACTAAGAAGGTACTGAAGGAGGCCAAAAGCTACACTATACTGCGAGAGGTAGACCTCTCCTTCTCCCATCAACTTGTCAGATCCCCTTTTAAGGACCTCTGAGCCAGCGGCCATCACCATACCTTGTAGCAATGAATTCTATAAGCCACAATTTGGATGAGCTTGCCCAGAAAAGCGGCTTAGAAATACTGTCCAGTGAATAAAAGTAGATAGAATTTGAGCTTTCTTTTAAACGTGGTTTGGTGTGTTGTCACACAGAACTGAGCCCCACAGAAGATATCACTAAAATAGTGGCGTTAGTGCATTCTTTCCAAGAACTGCTGTGTCCTGACTCAGTAGCTCATAAGAAGAGCCTGGCTGCTGGATCAGACCAGGAGGCCAGTCTGCTCTGTCGTTCTGTTCCTGCAACGATTAACCTGATGCCCACAGGAAGCCCACAAGCACCTCCCTCCCAATGTTGCCCTTTGGGGACTGGTATCCAGTGGCTACTGCCTCCGGTACCGGAGAGCCTAAAGCTGTCATGGCTTGTGGCCACTGTAGGGCTGTTGTACATTTCAGTGAAAGACTTGCATGGGAGAACTTGGTTTCAGCTACATTTAGAAAATGATCATTTCCACTTTCACGGTTGTTAGCTGGTCTCTCGTGTTCCATCCTGGCTTTCTGCAATCGGAGCCAAACCTCCAATTAAGCCAGAGTGCCTAAATGCCAAAGGATTCTGAGAGACAGTGGCAACAGGCAACCATCCAATTCCTCAGTGGAAAAATATGAGTCAGGAGTAGAGGGAAAGGAAATGGATAGGAGATTACTTTTCCTGGATGAGTTTCCTGGGGAAGAAATGTTTCCACTGGGTTTTCTTCACGACATTGCAAATGGCAAGTCAGTTAATGTTCTTTGGAATCAAGAAGGTGGTCCTGTTTGTTTTGAAGGCTGGGGTTCTACATTTTATGAGAGAGAGAAAAGAGAGGGAAATGTCCCACCACTTAAATCGTCTTTGCCCCCCACAGAATCTTTTGTCTCCTTTAAATCTGTCCATTGCGCGCTGAATGAACACTTTCCTACTAGGTTTATGAGTGTGAATTTAGTTTGTGTGATCAAAATTACATGTTCTCTTGCTTTTTTTTTTTACACAAAACTCGTTTACCTTCTTGGATGGTAGAATATAACAAGGTATTGGGTTGTCATTTACCTTTAAATAGAAAGATTTTGATCACTTCCAAAAGACCACTATGTCTCCCCTGCAAATCAGTAGGGAAAAACAACAGATTTAAAGACTTCAGTCACTCAGAGGAGCAAGCACCCAGAAATCTGAAATAGGTACTAACTTTGTCACCCTCTTTCCTGTCTTTAGGAGCTCTCTGCAGCTCTGAAGTCTGCTCTGTCTGGGCACCTGGAGACTACTATCCTGGGTCTGCTGAAAACACCGGCTCAGTATGATGCTTCTGAGCTGAAAGCGTCCATGAAGGTATGTGAAATGAGGAACCCCCAAAAGGTTCATCGTTGATGCTTGTCTCCATCACTGAAACCCTTCTCAATCTCTCAGCTCTCACTGTCAAAGAAAACCTTCCGTTATTGAAGGGACCACAAGGCTCATCTAGTCCAACTCCCTACACAATGCAGGAATCTTTTGCCCAACGTGGGGCTCGAATCCACAACCCTAAGATCAAGATCACTGAGCTCAGGATGCTTCCCACGTTTCAGCGCCTAGATTGCCCGTGTAACTCGGATCACTGTGTGTTATCGACACTGAACAGGACCCACAACAGTGAGCGTTGGAGTTGCTGTTAAAATTAGTGTTTGAAATATTAGTATTTCTTCATCATGTTTAATCCCGCCTTCCCCCAAGGAGCTCACGGGGGCACATGTGGTTTTCTTCTTCCCCACTTTATCCTCGCAAGAACCCTGCAAGGTGGGTTAGACTTGTGACTTTCACAGCCGAGCGGGGATTTGAACCCTGCTCTCCCAGGTCCTAGTCCAACGCTCTAACCGCTACAGCATGCTGGCTCTTTAAAGATCTGTTGTTTCCCCATCACCACTCAGCTGCCAGTGCCAGTAGGGAGGGGGGAGTGAGATTTTGGTTCCCACCTAATTCACAGCTCCCAAACTAGTAACTGAACTGAAGTGTTTCAAAATTCGCACTTCTCCTAATTTTGTGATGCTGTTCTCCAACCCAAAAATGTGAATGTTTGGGGAAAGTGTGTATTAGTGAAGGTGACATGCAAAAACAGATTATGCCAGGGGAAATGACTTGCAAAAAGCCTGCGTATTGCACAAAAGTGTGCTCAAAATGGGTATCCTTAGAGAAATTATGCGTGAAAACATACATTTTTGTGCATTTTTTAAAAAAATAATAATCTCAAAACTGATGCAGAAATGGTCCAAACTGAATTTAAACTTGGGGGAAATGAGAAACTGAAATGGAAGGGATTCCACCACCGCCCCTCACTCAAGCCCATCATATCAGTTAGGCATTTTGGTCCTGTGGGTGGTACTCAGCCAAGTCCTATGCAGTGTAGACGCATTGAAATTCATAGGCATGACAAATGTAGGTCAATTAATTTCAGTGGCTCTGCTCTGAGCAGAACATAACTGAATGCCATCTTTTGTAAAGATCAACTCTTGAGCTCTCCAGCCTGCGATCTGTTTCGTGTAGAAGTGCTCCACTCCTCGGTCTCACGACATGGGCAGGACTTTGATTTTCCTGTCCCCTAAACTTCACCCGCACTCCTGGATTGCTCTAGTCAGTACACAGAGTTCTGCCTCCTCTTTTTCTTTATCCAATGCTGCCCTCTGCTGTCTCAGCTCAGCACTGTTGCCAAATGTAGCTTTTAACTTCTTCGTTAACAGTTTGCCACACTGTTTTCTGCCGTAGCCTGCTGTGTCTCAAAGCTTTGTTCAAATGCTTCCTAGCCCTTTTTCTACACATTTATCGGGGCTGGCACTTCTCTTTACGTTGTGGAGCAACCACTGCACACCCTTCTCCTGTGCCTGGGACAAGCTTTTAGGAAAGTCAACTCCCCATTTTATCCTCACGACAGCCTTGCGAAGTCGGGCAGATTGGGAGATACTGACAGGCCCCTGACCACCCAGCGATTTGAATCTGGGCCTCCCTATTCCTCATCCAGCCCCCAAATCACCATGTACCACACTGACTTTCTATTTGAAAAAGCTTTTCGAGATGGACTGGAGAGCAAACAATGTAAAACATGTTTTCTGAAAAACAATCGGCCTTTGAAATCCTGGGGGCTTCCATGTCACAATTGTGGAAGCTCTTGCCCTTCCTTACAGGCTAGAAAACTCCCAGTATTTGTTTTTTGCAACACTGTCACAACATAAAATAGAAACATCGCCACCCGACCTCTTTCCCTCTTTTCTTACTAATGTCTCAACAAATGAAACTGATTTGTAAAAATGTTAACATGGGGGGGGGAATACAAGAGAAAGACATTGCACACACTTTTGTAAATAAAAAAAGATTTTTATTTTTTTTAAAAGAAGACACTGTCACAACTTTCACTACAGGGGGTTGGACTAGATGACCCTTTTGTGTCCTTCCAACTCCACAATGCTATGATTCTCTGCATGGCATGTTGACATAAGCAAATGGACAGATCTCTGTCCCATGGAGCTTACAGTTTAAACAGGGAGAACAATAGAATGGAGAACTAGCATGTCAGGAGGAAGGCGAGGCAACAGTTTTTCTCCCCAACATCTGGTTTCCTACACCCTAGAAATATACGTGCAGGAGCGTTCTGTTGTTCATGCACCACCCCCAGTGGCACTACAATCCAGCAACAGTTTGAACATGTGGCAAGGTCAGTTTCTACAAGGGATGCAGAAGGTGTGGCCTCCTTGACATTGCTGGTTTCCCAATACTCCTGAACATCGGCTGTGGCAGATGGGAGTTGGAGACCAATAGCATTGCGAGGGGCCACATGGACTCCCCAGTGTACACTGCTCATCCTGGAGTTGAATTTTAAATATTTTGACACGGAAAAGTATCTTGCGCCCCATCATTTCCAAAGGGCGTTCCCCTCCCCTTTTCTATTTCATTGCTGTCTTAGTCCCTAGAGCCACGTTGCAGTAGAAAACCAAGGAAATTAAATGAGTAACATGGTTGAAAGCACTTCATTTATCAATTATGCATCTAATTCTGAAGTCAAAGGTTGCGTTATTCTTGTTTTTTGTTAAAGAGGCACATAAAATAAGTCTCTTTAATTATGCTCTTTCCTTAAAAGTTCTCCAACATCCTTGCAGCCAGAGCTGCTTTATAAATGATGCCTGATGGAAGTGGAACGGAACAAAAATTAACGATCTTGTTTCCAGGCCTTTGGCGGGGATTGTTTTGACTGAACTGTACCAGGGAGGGTCATTGAGTTCCCAAAGAGTTTAATTAACACCTGATCCCTTTTCATGTGGATTAGTAATTTTCTTATTGTATTAACAGCTTCATAATTGATTTACACTTTACTCCCAGTTAATTCAACTTTTAGTTCAAAGCCGTATTTTTGTATTCAGTTTTATATGTTCAGCATGCAAGGGAGAGAAATCTGCTGATTAAATCTTGAACTTTGATCATTAAAAAAACCCCTCACACTTTGAAATTTATATTTTATAATATATGTCCCTTGAACTCGCTCAGATTGTTCAAAATATATGAAATCTGAATATTGGTCTGTCATGCAAAACGTATTTCTGTTCTTTGCTATTAACAGGGATAATAAAATGTCTTCGTCTATTTTTAAAAGGCTCACCTGTATATTGATTCCTGCTCCCCTCCTTTTTTGTGAAAACAATTTTGAGATGCAGTGTTTCTGGGCACTGTGCTTCTTAAAGAGTGAAAATCTTTCCTGTTCATTTCTGCTTGTAATCCCAAGTTGTACGGGATCAATTTCAGTCTGTTACCTACAAGGATGTGGACAGGCTGCTTGGATGAGTGAAACCGACCACTTGTCTCCTCATAAAAGTGAACCTGCAATGGGCTTTGTGGGGTGGTGAATGTTCCCCTCTGTGAGTGAGTCTTCCCAGACCCCCTTAAAAAGAAGTCATTAAACCGCTTCTTTAAAAAACCCATAATTGGACCCAGCAATTTTTGCCAATTATTACCCAATTTCAGACCTTCCATTCCTGGACAAGGCAACTGAGTAGATGGTTGCTGAACAACTCCAGGCATGTCTGGAGGATGTGAACCATTTGGCTCCCTTCCAGTCAGAATTCAGGCCCCATCATGGGGCTGAAACTACCTTGATCACGCTGGTCAATGATCTCTGGCAGTCTAGTGGCAGAGGTGAAAGCTGTTTCCTAGTTCTGCTGGATCTCTCAGCGGCCTTTGATACCATTAGTCATGGTATCTTTCTGGAGCAATGGGGTGTGTGTGTGTTAGGAGCTGCAGCCACTGTTATACAGTGGTTCCGCTCCTTCCTCCTGGGCCATGACCAGAAAGTGGTGGTGGGGGTGAGTGGTCAGACCCCTGGGCTCTCACTTGTGGGGTGCCTCAGGGTTCTGTCCTCTCCCCCATGCTTTTTAACATCTATATGAAGCTGCTGGGAGAGATCATCAGGGGGTTTGGGCTTGGTGTTCACCAGTTTGCGGATGATACCCAGCTCTACTTCTCCTTTAAATTAGAACCAGTGAAGGCAGTGAATGTCCTGTGTGAGTGCTCTCCTTCAGAATTCATTTTCAGCCTTGGAATAGATTTTTGTTGGTTTGTCTGAACATACACAATTCTGCAATGAAGGCAGCAAACAAGAGCAGTATTCTGAAACTGACTGTTCAAAGCAGGTTGAGTAGGATATTCTCCTCACACAGGGCCCTACCTTTAGGCAGAGTGAGGCAACTGCCTCAGGTAGCATATATTGGGGGACCAGTGTTCCCCTAAGCTAGCCTGCTGCCCTCAGGTGCTGTGCAGAATGATATATCATGGTTGTTGTGGCAGTAACTGTCAACTGCCTCAGTCTAGCTGGCTTCTGTATGAGGAATGAGGGGAAGGTGCCATCTTGTAATTTGCCTCAGGCAGCAAAATGCCTTGGGCTGGCCCTACTCCCTCATAACATTTTTATTTTGATAACAAGCAGAAGCCACACTTTTTTTTGTTAAAATCTCATCTCACTGAGTATATGTACCTATCAAGATGTCCATTTCCGCTTGCATTTCAGGGTCTGGGAACAGACGAAGACACGCTCATTGAGATAATCTGTTCACGGACAAACCAGGAGCTGAATGCAATCAACAGAGCCTACAGGGAAAGTAAGTTGACCAGGAGGGATGGGTGGAGGGCTGAGTTTTTCCTTTGGGGGCAGATCCACACCATAGATTTTAAAACACATTCAGCAGACATTTAAACCACATGGATTTCCCCCCAAGAATCTTGGGAACTGTAGTTTGGTAAGGATGCTGGGAATTCTAGCTCTTTGAGAGGGGAGACTCTACTTTCCATGATTCTTTGGGGGAAGTCATGTGCTTTGGCGGTATGGTGTGGATCTGTCCTTAGATAAATTGCCCTCGGAATGATTTGAGGATTGACCTGCTGATACCTTGATTGATGGGTCCAGCGACACCAAGCATTTTGTGGTAATAGGTTCAGAAGCTCATTTGCAGTCGCAGAGGTGTAGTCAGGGTAAGTACTCTGGGCATGTGAGGCCACTCCCTTGCTGAAGCTAAGTGTCTGGTCAGTTCCTGGATGGGAACCAGGTGTATGCTGCCTTAGGTTCCATGACAGAAGAAATGTACAGTATAAATGTCAGAAAACAGAGGAGGGGTAACTTATTTTTCAGGCCTAAAAGTGAGGTGTAAAATGTCCCAAAGTATTTCAATTTTCGCACCAGATGCAGTGGTAGGGAAAGAGTGCCTAATTTGCTGGGCCATTCTTAGATCTCATAAAAGTCCTTCCTTGTTTTAACGAAGCAAGAGTTAGGAGGAGGTGAGATTGTGCAAAGCTGGTGGTGGCTGCATTAATTGGCTTTTAAAATAAATATTTATGTGATGATGTTGCTTCATAATGAGTAGTGCTTGGGGCTTTTACTGTCTTAGAAAATGGGTGGGGCACAAGTGAGTTGATGAAAGTTCTGTAGGCCATTGCTTCTTTAGTTGGAAGGACTGTGAACCCCACACAGTTCTGGGGTCAGGAGGGTCCTGTGGAGATGGGGAGTCCGGGGGGGGGGTGGACACAAGAAGCCACTGGAAGGGACAGAGAGGGATATGTGCTACAGAAGCATGAATATTTGATCACAGGATGCCCTCTTCAGTTTCTGAGACCTTCACAGACACTTTTGCTAGACACTTGATTTTTGTTTCATACAAAGACTGACTTCCACATAGGGCCAAATTCTGCACTGGGATCTAGGATGAAGAAAACATGCACATGGGTCTTAAGCTCAGCTTTTCCTTTTAACAACTTGGCTTGAGCTTCCAGAGGATAAGTAACTGGGACTTGCTTCTGAGTGGATCTGGACAGGATTGCTCTGCCACTTAGAAACAACAAAAGCAACCAAGGGTTTGGGCTCTTATTCTGCTTAGCAAGTCTCAGTCCCTTAGAAAAAGGAAAAAGAATGATCTCTTTGAAAACAATTGGAAAACGGAAATGAAAAGTCTGGGTCAGTCATCGTGACGAACCTTTTCTGTCATTGTAAAAACAAGCCTATGTGGGCACCCAGCTTGTGTGATCTGTCACAGCTTGATTCTACTTTAACAAACCTCATTTGGGACAAGCTCCAGTTTCCAGAGTTCGTATGTAATGAGTTACTGTGGTTTGAAAGCAGAGGTTTTGCAGTTTATTCCTATTCTATGTGAAGGAGGGGAGGGCGAGAATTTCTGGTTTAATTTTTGAGCTGTAGTTTCCTCTTTTGTCTGAACTCAGGAAACTTTTCTTCTAACTGTGGATAGCTAAAAAACTAGGATCGGGTTTGTTTTTGTAACAGCACATCATGATTTTTCATTATGGCTGAACTGGGCTTCAGAAATGTTAGTAATAGAGCCTGCTTAACCAGTCTTCCTTGATTTCTTTTTTTTAGTGTACAAGACTGAATTGGAAAAAGATATCATCTCAGATACATCTGGCGATTTCCGCAAGTTGATGGTGGCTTTAGCCAAGGTAAGACTCTTCTGGTCCAGCTCCCTTTTTCCTCTGGTTATTTTAACTTAACTGTTTGCTTCAAGTCATGGTAAGAACTCGATGTTTTAGTTTGGCAGCACTTGCACTTTGGAACTCCCTGCCTATTGACATCTGACAGGCACCTTCACTGTACCTTTTTCAGCACCTGCTAAAAACATTTTTGTTTAGACAAGCCTGTCCAGAGTGGTGGTATCTGTGGCGGTGTTGTATGTTTTAATCTGTTTTTAGCTTATCACTGATTTTAGTTATTTTTTGAATGTTTTAAATAGCTGCTTTCAAATGTCTTCATTGAAAATTGTACTGTTTTATGAACCAACCTGGACCCTGCAATCACCATCCAAGTCCCTTCTTCATGGGCCTCCTCTGCAAGAGGTCTGGAGAGTAACAAGCTGAGAACGGGTCTTTTCTGTGGTGGCTCCCCACTTGTGGAATTATTTCCCCAGGGAGGCTTGCCTGGCACCTTCATTACCCATCGTTAGGTACCAAGCAAAAACATTCCTCTTCTCTCACGGCTTTGGCTAATTAAACAATCTATGGCCTTTTAAACTGTGAGGAGTGTATGCGTGTTATTGTTTCAGTAACAAACAAAAACAGTAACACACACCCCGCTTAAAAGGCCGTAGATTGTTTAATGAGCCAAAGGCCTGGGAGAAAAGGAATGTTTTTGCCTGGCACCTAAAGATATGTAATGTTATGTATTTTTATATTGTAAACCATCCTGTGATCCTTGGAGGAAGGGCAGAGTAGAATTATTATTATTATTATTATTATTATTATTATTATTTTATTACAAACTGCTTTGAGTTTTTTTCTTAGAATCCAATGGCATATGAATTTCATAAAATAAATAAATAAAGGACTGTGGCCTAAATGTGTAAGGGATGCCACATAGAATTTGAAATTAGCTCTTACGGCCAGATCTTAAGGATCCACTTCACCCTTGAGAGCCAATAGCCATAATGTCAAACCCCCGTGGCCCCCCCTCAATATGTGCTCTGAGAAACAAGCTCCAGTGATTTGCAACAAATGGTACAAAAGTTGAAACACCTAAAATACAGATGCTCCCAAATGTCCACAGCTCATAACTAGATATATCAAAGGCTGTAGTCCTCATGACTGTAAAGCTGTCCCCAGTCCATAAATCCAGGCAAGAGCGTTCGTAATATTCTGCATACTTCTCTTCTCAATGAATCCTGGAGCAAGAAGTGTTTAGTGGTTGTATATCTGAAACAGGTGTTTGTTTTTCTTCTTTAAAAGGGAAGGAGAAATGAGGACGCTTCCGTGGTTGATTATGAGCTGATTGATCAAGATGCCAGGGTAAGTAATGCTGAATACTGACCTCTTTTCACCTCGTATGAGGGCCTGTTGAAAAGCTGCCTCCGGCCTCCCCATGTGTGCAAAGTGTCAACTGTTCCACAGTATCTGAGCAGACAAATGCACTTCAACTGTACCAGCTCACAACATGCTTAGTCTGTCCACGCGTTCCAGAAGTATTTGACCTGCTGTGAGCCCTTGCCGATAACCAGGTTATAGACCAGGCTTCCTCAACCTCGGCTCTCCAGAGGTTCTTGGCCTACAACTCCCATGATCCCTAGCTAGCAGGACCAGTGGTCAGGGATGATGGGAATTGTAGTCTCAAAACATCTGGAGGGCCGAGGTTGAGGAAGCCTGTTATCGATCCAAACCACCCCAGCAATATTCTCAATACAATAAAGTGAAACTATCCGTAAGTGGGTGAGGTGCTTTGGAGGAAAAGTGCCGGGAGTCTTGTAACTCTGCTAACATGGCAGTGGCCAGGTGTCTGACACAAAACATTTTCATCCCAACTGCAGGACTTGTATGATGCTGGTGTGAAGAGAAAGGGAACGGACGTGCCCAAGTGGATCAACATCATGACTGAAAGGAGTGTCCCCCACCTCCAGAAAGGTAACATGCAACTCCAGGCCGCTCCAGAGGCGTGGGTGGGTGAAGTCCTCACGTGTTCAGGTCTGATGATGGAGGCTCCTTTTCACTTGCTTGTGGCTCTCTCTGCTGGACAGACTGGAGGAGAAGCAGGGATTTGCTCCACAACTGATCTTTGGTTTCATGATTGCACCCATAGCTCAGAGGGGGAACATATCCTTTGCATACAGATTAAGAACATACGAGAAGCCTGCTGGATCAGGCCAAAGGGGCCAATCTGGTCCAGCATCCTGTTCTCACAGAGGCCAACCAGATCCCTGTAAGAAACCTGCAAGCAGGATCTGAGCTCAAGAGTGATTCTCCCCTCCTGTGGTGTCAAACAACTGGTATTCAGAAGCATGACTGCTTCTGAAGGTGGAGGCAGAGCATGTCCATCCTGGTTTGCAGTCTTCTCCTGCATGAATGGGTCCAATCTTCTTCAGTCATGGAGGCAGAGTATAGCTGTCATAGCTAGCAGCCATTTATAGCTCTATTCTCCACAAGTTCATCCAGTCCTCTCTCAATGCCATCCCAGTTGGTGGTATAGCTGTCAACTTTTTCCTTATTCCGAATAAGAAAGAAGAAGAAATTCCCTTATTCCGAATATGATTCCTCGCAAGAAAAGGGAAAAGTTGACAGCTATGGTTGGTGGCCCTTGTTGCCTCCTGTGGGAGTGAGTTCCACAGTTTAATTCTGCGCTGCATGATTTTATTTTCTTTTCTTCTGACCCTTCTGTTTCCATTGGCTAAACTTTGCAGTGTTTGAGAGGTACAAGAGCTACAGCCCTTACGATATGCTGGAGAGCATCAAGAAGGAAGTGAAAGGAGACCTGGAAAATGCCTTCGTTAATCTCGGTGAGTACATGGACAGAGGCAAGAGGAGTTGACCATCCCAAAGGATGTTGAGGAAGGTCAGGAGTTGGGTGCTTCTGGTTTGCCCTGGACAGAGGTGTCCCTGGAGTCCCTTGTGCCCTTGGCAAGGAGCAGTATTGGTGCCTCCACCCCCCAAAACATCTGAGGTTGCCTGGACAGGAGGAGCACGCCTCCTCAGGGCTGGACAGGGCGCCCGTACCGCTCTCTGCCTGGAGGCTGCTCTGAGAACCCCTTTTCGTTCCCCTCCTCCAGCAGCTTTTTAAAAAAGGACTGGGAAAGGGAGGGAAGAGGAAAAATTCAGGCACTAATTCTTAAATAGTATGGGGCGGGGGGTTGTGTGTATACTAGCTAGGGCTATTTTCTGTTAGGTTAGGAACTTAAGAGGAATATGTTCATATCCATTAGTTAAATCAATGTTGATTGGCTGACACTGCAGTGTTTAAAAAATGGAGATTATTAATCTTTTAGCAAAAGAATCCTTTTGACAGGAGGGAGCAGAAATGTGTTTGGCGGTGGGGGGGCTATCTACTTTTAAACTTTTAATAGTTTGATTACAGGTCTGTATTTTAACCCCATGTCCATCTTTTTTTCTCCACAGTCCAATGCATTCAGAACAAGCAGCTGTATTTTGCGGACCGATTGTACGACTCAATGAAGGTAAAATACCCGAACACAGGTCAGGGACACCCTCCTGTGCAATCACCATTGAGATTAATTCTGTTCACGAGCTCTCCTGCTCAGTGATCCTGTGCGCCTCCCGCTCATCTGAGTGGGATTTCTCTTGGAGCACCCCAGAGGCCTGTGTCCGCTTCCTGCACCAAATGTCCATAACGTTGTTGTCATATCATTAAATTACTCCCAGAAACCATGCCTATTTTCAGTCTGGGTTCTGAGATGGGTCAGGACTCAAGTGGGGCTTGATCATTCATTTGTCAGTAAGTATGGAAGTGTTGCTTAGCAACTAAGGAGGCTGCATGATCCTTGGTGAGACCGCATATGCTCTGGCTGTGTAGCTGTGAGAGAATTTCTCCCTGGATGTTAAGTTGAACCTAACCCTGCTTTTAACAAGGCCTGCCCTTAAAAAAGAGAGAAAGCTCTGGTTTTCCCCCCTCCTCAAGTTATATGTTGCTTTGTTTCATTTTCCTCAGTAAAGTGTTATTAGGATTTCTTTTCTCTGGATTCCATCTGTGTTATTTTACTGACTGCTAACAATTCCCACCGCCCAAAAAATGCATTGCAAACAATCAAGTTTGATTTTAACAATGAAGTTTAATTGTGGAAAATAATTGTTTTTTTCAGGGCAAAGGAACCCGAGACAAGGTCCTGATCAGGATTATGGTCTCCCGCAGTGAGGTGGACATGCTGAAAATTAAGAGTGAATTCAAGAGGAAATATGGGAAGTCCCTGTATTACTTCATCCAGGTGAGTGGCCGTGTTGCAGCAGATCTCCTGTCAGTCACAGCAGAGCAGACAGTATCAGATCACCCCATGGAGAGCTCAGTTGTGTTGAGCATGGGGCTGATAATGCCGAGGTTGCAGGTTTGATTCCTGTAAGGGACAGCTGCATATTCCTGCCTTGCAGGGGGTTGGACTAGATGATCCTCAGAATCCCTTCCAACTCTGCAATTCCATGCTGGCTGTGTGGTGTGCTTATGCTCGGGATCCCAGCCACTCCATTTCTCCCACTCCCCATTTCTCTCCCCCGACCCAAGCCAGGCTTCTGTGACCACTGAGCGTACTCAGTCTCCATTCTGCTGTTTTGGGTAATCCACCCCCACAAAACATTTTTCCCCATTTGTACATTGCAAGCCTTGGAATCCCTCCCCCACCCCAACTTGCTGGTATGCCCTGAAATTCTTGGCATGGTGCAAGAACACACACACGGGGAATTTTGGAAAACACAGCAGGACAATTTATGGCTGCCTGCATGGAGTGGAAGCCTCCCTTCTTTTTTGTATCGTTTTGGGGGTTCTGATGATCCTGACAGTGTGAGGAGAGTCAGGGCCAGACTGGCCCTGCGGAGAGTTTTGGCCTAATGTCTCTTTCCCTCTATTCCCCTTACAGCAAGACACAAAGGGCGATTACCAGCGGGCACTCCTGAACCTGTGCGGAGGAGAAGATTGAACACTGTGATGGGAATGGAAAGAGTTCCAGCCCCAAGATATGCTCCCCCCCTTTTTTTTACCCCGCTTCAGCCCAGCCCTGATCTCCTTTGCAGAACTAGAGCCATTGGCACGATAGCCTTTGCTAACTCATCTTCCCTATCCTGTCTACTCCAGGCGGATGCTGCTGGTCGCTTTTGTATCATTCCCTCCCTTGGCTCAGGCTTTGCTTGGCTTTTACCCAAGTAGCTAATCTCAGCAGAAGTAATCAGGCCAAAGGAGTTAACATTCCAAAGAGAGGGAGAAGGAGAGGGAGGCAAGCCTTACATGCACAGTGGAAGATTCTGCCTCTTTTTGTGTGCAATGTTCTTGTTGGAACGCCAAATAAAATGGAATTTTTACTTTAAGAAAAACACAGTGTGCTCTTGTGCATTCTTCCAGAGGAGCAAAGTGTCAGCTTCCTGGTGTAACAATAATTACCTTGTGGGATTCAGACACTCCCCCTTCTGCGCATATTTTAAAAATTGCTTCATATCCCTCCCTTTTGGTGTAGCCTCCCATCTCACAGCAACAGACAGTAAGACTGTTTGACAGTGGAATGGACAACCTTGGAAGGTGGTGGAGTCTCCTTCATCAGAAGTTTTTGAACAGAGGTTGGGTGGCCCTCTGTCAGGGATTCTTCAGCTGTGATTCCTGCATTGCAGGGGGTTGGACTAGATGATCCTTGGGTGTAATTTCCAACTCTGTGATTCTAAGGAACTAATCCAAACCACTCCTGCTTTGCTTTAAGGTAAAGGGACCCCTGGCCATTAGGTCCAGTCATGACCGACTCTGGGGTTGCGGCGCTCATCTCGCTTTATTGGCCGAGGGAGCCGGTGTACAGCTTCTGGGTCATGTGGCCAGCATGACTAAGCCACTTCTGGCGAAACCAGAGCAGCACACAGTTGCTCGGTCCCAGCTCCTGCCAACCTAGCAGTTCAGAAGCACAAAGTGCAAGTAGATAAATAGGTACCGCTCTGGCGGGAAGGTAAACGGCATTTCCTGCTTTAGATGAAAGTTAATTTATGGTAGACTAGTGGGGAGTGCCTGGTGCTGCCCAGGAATTTGTAGAAACCAAAAAATACTATGTTTTTTAAATGGATGGTGTTTTTGTGAGTTTGGACTTGTCATGTAAATGACTGGGTAGCTCAGTTGGTTATAGCGTGGTGCTGATAATGCCAAGGTCACAGGTTCAATCCCCGTATGGGACAGCTGCATATTCCTGCCTTGTAGGAGGTGGAACTAAATGATCCTCAGAGTTACTTCCAGTTCTACAGTTCTATGATTCTATGCCAAACATTGGGTGAAATCATGTTTTGGTCTGCCATCTGGATTCATCATGGTGCCTGGTACCCAAACACTGATGTAGATCCTCACCCCCTTCTCGGGAACCCCCATGCCAAGTTTGATGAAGATACCTTGACAGGCAACTAACCCTATGCCATCAGACAGGTGGAATCATGCAAATGTGACATTTTGGTCCACCATCTTGATTCAAAATGGCACCTGGCATCCAAATGGCAATGAGGCTCTCCACCCCCACTTCAGGAGCCCTTGTGCAGTCTTTGGCAATGATAACACAAGAGACATCTGAACCTGTGCCCCCAAATGGGCATAGTGATGCCAAACTCACATTTCGATCCATTATCTTGGTTCAAAATGGCAGCCAGCTTCCAAGTGCCAATAAAAACTGCTGCTCCCATATTGGGCACCCTTGTGCCAAGTTTGGTAAGGGTATCTCAAGATGTGTCCAAACCTATGGACCAGATCAGTAGCCTTTATGACAGCAGGGACGAGGAACCTCAAACCCAGTGGGCTGAATAGGACCCTTCAGCCCTTTCTAGCCTTCAGTCAGGACTCTTCCCTTGTTCACACCTCTCATTGGCCTTGCCCTCGTACCCTCTGGGGGTGCTTTTGCCTGGCTGGAATGTGTCTTGAACTTGGATGATGCTACTTGCTTGCCTGGATGGAGGGATGTGGGCACTGCTATTTTTATATAGAAAAAATGGCGCTAGCACTCGCCATGAAGTTGTTACGGTAAGCATCACATTCATGGGGTGGGTGGTGGAGTGCTGCCACTGCATAGCCTTGAGTACCCCCAGAAAAAGCACTGGGGGTGGGGGTAGCAGTCTTTGGCTTTCCCATGGCTGGGCTGCCACCCAGAGGGAAGAGCTGCATTCATGGCTCCAACCACTTTTGTCTCTGCCCTCAGTTTCTCTCCTGCCCCAGCTTTGCAATAGAATATAATACAGTGGTACCTCGGGTTACATTCTCTTCAGGTTAGAGACTCAGCTAACCCAGAAATAGTGCTTCAGGTTAAGAACTTGCTTCAGGATGAGAACAGAAATTGTGTGGCGCAGCAGCAGCAGGAGGCCCCATTAGCTAAAGTGGTGCTTCAGGTTAAGAACAGTTTCAGGTTAAGAACGGACCTCTGGAACGAAATAAGTATGTAACCAGAGGTACCACTGTAATCTATAAAACTCTACAGGTTTCTCGTGCCAACCTTGCCCATCTGCTTTTTGGTCAGGGTGCAACACAAGCAAATATTGTATTGAAAGTAGACCCATTCATTCATTTCCATAGGTCTAGTCTAACATTGAACACAATACTGTGTAAATAAAAGTACATCCAGCTTCAACACTAACTGTGGTAACTGAAACCACAGAACGGCCTACAGATTTCTAGCAATAAAACTATCTACAGATGGCTGGGTGAACATGCAAGTTTTTAGCAGGCACTGAAGTAATGAAAGAATCACCAACCAACATATCTCAAAGGTGGCTGGGGGGCAGTCATTCCTCCTGATATTACTCTGTGTCCAGTGAACTTTGAAAACAAGGAAAATGGAGGAAAGAAATGGAACAAGGACTTGGATGTTCTCAACCCACCGGTCAGAATGGGTATTAGGAGCAGGTCAGCAAAAGCTCACAAGGCATCTGTGAAGTTAACTCTTTATTCAGTGAAACAAAGCAGCTCAGGCCTAGTGAGCCCAGCAGCTCTGCCCAGTAGGTCTTGCCCCAATGAGGCAGTTGCAAGGCCTTCCTCCAGCTCTCTTAAGTCTCCTGCTCCCCCAAGTCCTTCCCAAGCAATCTGAGACTCCAACACCTTGTCTCTGCTCTGCCCTCTTCATACCTCTGCAGGTTCAGGGAGGCCAGTGGGGAGGGAAGCTGGTCACCGCAGGAAGGGGGGGGGGATCCCTGGCTTCTTCCCTGACTCCACTCTGCCTCTTGGCCCCCCCTCCTCTCCAGCTTCCACTGCTGCCTCTGATTCTGTCCCACCCCCACTCCCTGGGCTCTAAGCCTTCTTCCCTGGGGGGGGGGGGTCCCCAGCTGGTTCCTCCCACCACTCCTCCACATCCAGCCAGCCCATGACACCAGCAGCATGTCCACGTTCCTGTCCCGGCACCAAACAGCCCTCCTTCAAATTGCACCCAAGACAGTCATCTGGATCAGGCCAATGGCCTATTTCGCCCACATCCTGTTCCCCTAGTGGTCAGCCTGGTGACTGTGGGAAACCAGCAAGCAGGGGCAGAGCACAAGAGCCCCTCCCCTCCTGTGGCTTCCATCAACTGCTATTCAGAAGCATTACTACTTCCAGCTGTGGAGGCAGAGTATAACCATCATGGCTGATAACCACTGATAGCCCTCTCCTCCATGAATTTGTCTAAACCTCTTTGGAAGCTGTTTAGGTTTGTGGCTTTCCTGTGGGAGTGAGTTCCATAGTTTAACAAAAGGAGTCCTGCCCACTGCCCACTCTGCTTCTTGGCCAAAAAGGGCCCCAAAAATCTCTCTCTTGAGGAGCTCTGAGAAGGGAGCAGAACAACCCTGCCTCTGCTCTAGTCGTCTGAGCCATCTCTCTCTCTCTCTCTCTCTGTGTGTGTCTCCATCCGGCTCTTCAGGTTAGTTAGGGTCCCCTTTTTAACAGGGTGACTATCGTGGCACCTTCTGGATGTTTATCCCCTGCTCCCAAATAGGCCTGGAACTAGGGGTGGAGCATGGGGGGCTGAGGGGGCCATGGCCCCAGGTGCATTTTTCTAAGGGGGCATGACAAGGTGCCCCACAACTGGCTCCCTCATTGGAGCCTGGCTCCAGCACACGAGGGAGTTGCAGAGACAGGCAGCTTCCTCACGCCCAACGCCACCAGCCGCAACTCCATTCCTGGGTCAAGCCTGAGAAAGGAGGCAGAGAAAGGAGAGTGGGTGGCAACAGGGTGGAGAGAAGCTGAGGCGTGCACACATTGAGCTGCACACTTCACATGTGATGTTCAAGCAGTGTACAGCCTGCCCACACATTATGCAGCTGACTTAAATGCCCATTTCCCCACCACTTTCACCCCAGATGCCAGGACCAGCCCAGTCAAGAGTCAAAGTGAGGCAACTGCTTCAGGCAGCAGGATCTACAGAGGCAGCAAATCCCAATGTCAATATATCTTTCCCCTTTGTTACTGTTGTACATCTTCCTTCATCCTTTTTTCCCTGGTAGGGTGGGGTCCACCTCAGGTTCTGAAATGTCTTTGCCAGCTGCCAGCTGCCATCCTCCGTCTCCATCTTCTGTTCATCTCACCTCTGCCAAATATAAAAATGGAAATCTCTCTGGGCAGGGACCTCTTTCATTCTTTGCACCAGGTAGAGGGCTGGTGCAATAATAACCCTAATATCCACAATAAATAGTAACACTATGTATGTGAGCAGCCAACTTCTCAATAGCTCCCAAACCTCATGAGCAAAAACCTTGGTTCCTAAAGTGTGAGCTGATTTTATTCTTAACTCTAAGCTCCCTGCTTTTGTGCATTGCAGGGGGGTTAGACAAGCGGGTCCTTTGGGTCTCTTCCACCTCTATGATTCTGATTCTATTATTGCCCCAAGTACTGATGCTTATAAATTCAGCAGCTAAATAAATAAAAACAAGTTTGCTGGCTTGCATTTCTAGACACTCCCTCACACTCATAGAAAGAGAAATTGTTGGGGAAAGCTCTCAGCTTCTTGCCAAACAATTTATTTGCTTATTTATTTACTTGCAGCATTTCACCCAAAGGTTGCAGACAAGTCACAACATAATACGTAATTTTGCAGGTGGTAACTGTTTTCTAATAAAACTGCAGGCCTAAACTCCTAATGCACAAAGTGCAGTTCCCCATTAGAGGGTGCTCAAAGAAAGCCTTACTGCTTTTCCATGGACTGAATTCTTCTTGACAAACATTTACGTTTTCCTGCTCCAGTCTGGACTGAATTTTTCTAAAGAATTATATTGGAAAGCCTTTGTGTAGTCTATAGATAGACACACATGCTCTGTGCATCAGAAGCCCAAGCTTCTGAGAACGTGTTGCCACCCACCTTGGTCACCTCATCAAGCCAACATTGATGCAGGTCATGGGAGAGGTGGGGCTGGGCTGCTTTACATTTTGCTTAAGAAACATGATAAGCTCTGCAAAGTTCCTTGAAGCAGCAGGAAAATAAGGGCAAATGCTAGAAGAAACTATTACATGCTCCCCAACATTTCTCAGGTGAAAATAGGGACACCCTATTTCTCCCGCATTTGATCTCCTTGCTCACATAGAGGTCATATACACATCAACACCAGTCACCTCGAGCCAATTGCAACCTCTCCGCCTCACCTACTTCACAAGATGTAAAGAAAAAGATGTGTGAGGGAAGGAATTGGGTGCAACACCTTCCACAGATAAATGGAATAAAACAAAATTTTAGCCGTTAGCTGCCTTGAGTCTCTGTGAGGGAAAAAGGCAGGAGAGGAGGAGGAGGACAGAAACTGTGAGAATGATTGGGAACATACCAGAGAGTAAACCCTATTGAACACAGTGGGACTTTCTGAGTAAAAATGCTTAGGATTGCAGTGTAAGGCTGCCCAGGCTTTACCCAGTTATCTGAGAGTAAACTCCATTGAATACAGTGGGACTTACTTCTGAGTAGACATGTAAAGACTTGCTGTGTAAGGCTCAATTTACAACAAAGGACTCCACATACAATAAACACTCCACATGTTTTCCAAAAAAAAAGTTGCTGGCTCTTGCATTGCAATTAAAGGATTGTTGACATTTTCCCTTCAAAATTATAGGAAGGGCTTTGCATGCCAGCTTCATCGTTTCCTTCATTTCCTGCAGGTATTTTATTTTCAGTATAAACAGGCTTTTTTCTTTAAAGTGTATAGGGGAACTCTCATTTTGACTCAAGAAAATCACCATTTTATAGTTCAAATTGGGGAAAATAGATACAGTAAATGAACAAAAGTACAAAGATTCACAAAATGTTTAGGGGACTTCATTTTTGCACCTACACACACACACACACACACACACACACACACACACACACACACACGAGACATGAAGGGGAGGAAAAAGGAAAACCGGGACATTCTGGGATCAAATCAGAAACCATGATGGCTTCTGTAATTCTGGGACAGTCCCTGGAAAATTGGGACTCTTGGAGAGTATGCTATTATTCCCCCAACCCCCAGCCGCCACCCCCCCTGCAGCAATTTGGTGGAGCAGGGCTGTCCCAAGTTACTTTGTCAGCAGTGTAACACAGGGACCAATCCAGCCGGGGGTTTGCCTGAACGAGCCCCAGGGCTTATTTTCAGTGGGAACTCACCAGAACTCAGTTCAGGCACCTCTCAGGTGGGTCCCAGCACCTCTCAACTCGGCACCATTGCCATTCTAAGAGGATGAGGGAGGCATTCATGGTGAGTTTCTGCACCTCTTTTCTACAAAAATGAACAGGGGGTGAACAAGAACAATGTGCTTTCCATTACGATGAGATTTCTGCTACAAAGCACCCTGGCAGAGTTGTGTTCCAAGGCAGATTTGTGCTTTCTAGCAGCCTTAATGGCAGCCAACACCTATCTCTCAAGAACATCAGAAGTTGCCTTCTATTGGGTCAGACCATCTAGTGCAGTACTACCAACACCAGAAGTGGGAACCTGTGACCCTGCAGATGTTGTTGGACTCTCATCAGCCCCAGCCAACATGGCCAATGGTCAGGAATGATGGGATTTGTAGGGTGACAGATTCCCCATTCCCAGTGTACAATTACAGCTCTCTGGGATTTCAGACAGGAGATTTGCCCCAGCCCTTCTTGGAGATGCCATTGCGGACTGAACCTGGGACCTTCCGCATACAAAGCAGGTACTCTAACCACTGAGCCTCTCTGTCCCTTTCCCAGTCTCCTTGTCGCAGGGCTGCCTCACCTTGCTTTGTGGAACAGGTGTGCATCATGGGCATAGTCGGGGCAGCTGCCCCCCAATCAAGTAAATTAATAAAAATACTTAATTAACTGACCAATTGCATTGCAAATAACTCGGTTCTTCCCCCCTCAACATAAAGCCTGCCCCCCATAAAATAAATCCTGACTACCCCCATGGTGCACGTGATTTACATTTTTAATGATTTCCGGAATACCGTGCCACTTTTGTACTAGAAAATGTTCCTGCCACTAAGTGTTCAAATAAATACAGCCAGGACTTAATCACAAATGGTTAAATATGCCTTGCTTTTTTGAGAATATTTCTTTACCAATAGAAGAAGAATTAGAATAATTTATGGAGCCATGCGTTATGAAAGTGGCTTGGCTAAAGGAAAGATTTTCCAATTATTTGTAGGCATTAGGGTTTCCTTTCTTCCCTTTCAAAATGACTTGTTTACACTCGGGGAGCACTTCTAAATTTTTAATAGACAGAAAGAATTCATTTA